TTATAATTATTAAGTTTTAAAAAGAGCTTAGGTCTAATTTCGGAACTACAGTTTCAGAAATTATGAAATTTTATAAGTTTTTACTTACAAATTTTAATTGGATTGTTTTAATTTAAATACATCTTCTGTTTGATAAATTTCAATAAAATTAAACAATTTTCTTTACAAACATGAAGATTTATAGATTTTCATATATAACCGTAAAATACCGAAAAATCCGGGATCCCAAAATATCCCGGGATTGCAATTTTCAAAATACCGAATCCCGGGATTTGTAAATGCCAGTCCCGTTTGGCATTCCTAACCTAACCTAGAATTTTATAGAGTCAAATAATTCATGAATTTTTAAGGGTAATTTAAAGGTAAATTTTTTGGTGGCTAAATGAGATTGAAATGTGCTCAATTTAGCCATGAAATGGCTAAATTGGCAATACTGTTTATAACCTAATGTAACCCTAATATTGTTTATAACCCTGATGTATACCCTTCTCACGAAGATGAAGGGTATACAAATTTAATTAATTGATGAATTTCTTTTTAGAATAAAAAGCAGTATAATAAATATTAAAATTGTTAGTTTACTTGTTGTCACAGTCATCACATTTATACATCAAAAGTATATTTTTTGATTCGATCATGGCTCAATTAAACCGTAATTCAAAGATTAAATGACACGGGCTTTCACTCGAATTTGAAGTAGTTCGGGTTACTAGTTGTAATAAAAATACTACATCTATTTCCACACTTTTTTTGCTGGGTAGTTCAAAATATTTTTAGGTTAGAAAAACATATCTTAAATGAACGAAAAATTACTATAACTCCAAAACAGTTGACAATAGGAAAAAATTGTCTGAAACCAAAATGCCATAAATTTGATTCTTTACAAATTTTGTAATGACTCCTAAATCCGTAGGATGTATGAAAAAGGAAATATTTCAAAAAAAAATATTATTTTGATCTATGACCTCCAATATTTCAAGTATATAAGTCATGATTTCAGATATTATTCACCATCATATTTATAATATTAAATTGATTGTCTGTGGTAATTTTTACTTTATTCGGCATTAAAACCTTAATTTATTAGATCATAAATGTGTTAAAATGTATTAAAATGTATAAAAAGCACTCATTTCCTATGGAAATTGTAAATTTAGCTAAATAAAAATTCCTACAACTTCCAAACCCATTGATATCCCATTCTAAAATTTGGCATCCCTAACCTAACCTAGAATTTTATAGAGTCAAATAATTCATGAATTTTTAAGGGTAATTTTTTGGTGGCTAAATGAGATTGAAATGTGCTCAATTTAGCCATGAAATGGCTAATTGGCAATACTGTTTATAACCTAATGTAACCCTAATATTGTTTACAACCCTAATGTATACCCTTCTCACGAAGATGAAGGGTATACAAATTTAATTAATTGATGAATTTCTTTTTAGAATAAAAAGCAGTATAATAAATATTAAAATTGTTAGTTGACTTGTTGTCACAGTCATCACATTTATATATCAAAAGTATATTTTTTGATTCGATCATGGCTCAATTAAACCGTAATTCAAAGATTAAATGACACGGGCTTTCACTCGAATTTGAAGTAGTTCGGGTTACTAGTTGTAATAAAAATACTACATCTATTTCCACACTTTTTTTGCTGGGTAGTTCAAAATATTTTTAGGTTAGAAAAACATATCTTAAATGAACGAAAAATTACTATAACTCCAAAACAGTTGACAATAGGAAAAAATTGTCTGAAACCAAAATGCCATAAATTTGATTCTTTACAAATTTTGTAATGACTCCTAAATCCGTAGGATGTATGAAAAAGGAAATATTTCAAAAAAAAATATTATTTTGATCTATGACCTCCAATATTTCAAGTATATAAGTCATGATTTCAGATATTATTCACCATCATATTTATAATATTAAATTGATTGTCTGTGGTAATTTTTACTTTATTCGGCATTAAAACCTTAATTTATTAGATCATAAATGTGTTAAAATGTATTAAAATGTATAAAAAGCACTCATTTCCTATGGAAATTGTAAATTTAGCTAAATAAAAATTCCTACAACTTCCAAAACCATTGATATCCCATTCTAAAATTTGGCATCCCTAACCTAACCTAGAATTTTATAGAGTCAAATAATACATGAATTTTTAAGGGTAATTTTTTGGTGGCTAAATGAGATTGAAATACTGTTTATAACCTAATGTAACCCTAATATTGTTTATAACCCTAATGTATACCCTTCTCACGAAGATGAAGGGTATACAAATTTAATTAATTGATGAATTTCTTTTTAGAATAAAAAGCAGTATAATAAATATTAAAATTGTTAGTTGACTTGTTGTCACAGTCATCACATTTATATATCAAAAGTATATTTTTTGATTCGATCATGGCTCAATTAAACCGTAATTCAAAGATTAAATTAAATTTTTGTGTTACAATCGCAATTAAATCTGAACTTTGAATTAAACTGTAATAACATTGTTATATTTGACTTCAATTCAAGTTTCCTTTTGAAGGATGCTTTTGAATTAATAAAGTGAATGCAAGTGTATGTGAAAACTTGAAATTTGAAAGTTTAACCGAAATTCAATTTGTTTTAATTCAATGGTTAAATTAAAATATAATTCAAATAAAAAACACGTAAGAGTTCTATATTAGCCTTTGCTTCAACATAGTGTGTTTAAAAATATTTAGTTTTATAAAATTTCAATTTATTTTATTTTTCCCGACTCTACCATTACTTTAACAATAACAAACCAACAAAATCTTACGTCAAATGAAAAAAAAAAAACGCAAAAACAAAATACGCTCAATAAACAATATTGTTGTTGCTTTTTTTGACAAAGCATTCACTTTTTTGATAAAAATTTCAGAGGTCTCAGATTTTTTAACATATCTCCGTTATATATGGAGAAAAAACAGTTTAATTCAAACCTTGAAATATACCTAGCAATAAATAATTGATGTCATCCTTTACAAACGACATCTTTATTACATCCTAAAATGTGATTACATATTTTTCGCTTTTATAAACCAAATATTTCCTTACAAATGAAACCCCAGTTAAAATTGAGGAAAGTGATGTAGAAGTCACTACAAATAACATATTCGAAGCACAATTTGGTGAAAAACCAGTGAAATTTAAATATGGGTGAGAGAATCCCATAAGGGCTCTTGGAATAATGAAACAGTGGTAGAATCACGAAAATCGTATGGGGTGACCCTGATGAGAGCAAGACGAAAAATCTTCTCAAAATGAGCAAGTCTGAAGTTAGTATGGTACGTATTCTGAGTGGACACACAGGATTACGAGTACATCTATGCAAAATTGGACGTGCGGATTCAGACGAATGTAGAGCATGTGGAGAAGACAGTGAAACTCTGGAGCACTTTCTTTGCCACTGCCAGGCATTCATCGAAGTTAGATCCAAGTATATTGGAAATGTTGTTATTCCGGAAATAACATTCCTGACTAACACTGATTGGAATATTCTTAGGAATTATGTTCAGGAAACTGAGTTTCTGAACACTGAAAAATAATTCATTCAGTTCTTTTCTTTTTTTTATAATAAGGAGCGCACAACAGGCCCGATAGCGGCCTTCTTCGGATTTGATGTAGTATACATAATTCTATCAACCAAACCTAACATAAGCATGCCATTAAAAGAATGTTGAATATTTTTAATATAAAATATCGAATTTGTAGTTCAAAGTTGTCAAAATTGAACAACATAACTTCAATGTAATGTAAAATTCATAGGTTTTTCACCAAAATTGGAAGTAGTTTGGCGTAGTCGAAAAACGATAGCTGTCGTAGTTGCTGTCGTATTTACATTTTTATGTTACCGTCTAAAATTTTCGACAAACAAAATTTTGTAAAAGATTCACAATGTAAAAGAATACGCTAAATTAAATGATTTTGAAACATCCTGTTAAAGATCTGTCAAACAAGTGTTTATAAATAAAAAAAAGTAAATATATTTTTTGTTTGTTTTTGTTTTATTTGTTGTTCTAAAATTCCCAGTTTCTATTGATTTTTATTTCTTTTATTTTTTTTTAGCGTAGGTGCCGCAGGTGAAGTACTCGGCTCTTCAATTTCGTTAATGTCTGTAATAGTGTCTAAATTTGGCTTGGGATCTGGTGAAATATTTCGCGTTCTCTTAATTCCAAATGGATGTCTATGTTCGGTAACAGCACGCATGTCTAATAAATTAATTGCTGCTTCTTCGACAGCTGAAAAAGTATTTTTATTGAACGGCCCACCACCTGTAGCATAGCTTTCTTCTTTGTGGTTAGATTTTTTTTCAATTTAAATTTAAAATCGGCCCACACCTTCATCCAACCTTCTCCGGAACGGAATGGGGGACCCATAGAATTTAGTTCTTTTGAAACGGTGTTCCACTCCTCTTATTTATGATGAAAATTCTACTTCTTTCTCCTCACTTTTTTTGCTGGGTAATGTAATTCAAATCGAATATTTTATTTATATATTATGTTCATTTGACCCCTATTCATAAATGCTTAATAAAGTTACGGATGGTTTATTGTAGGAATATTGTATGGAAAATGTGCTTAATAAACCAAAAATAAGCGCTGAATATCTTTAGTAGTTGCGATTTTACTACATATTGCTTTTAAATTTATCTATGTTTATTAAGAATTAGTAAGAAAATGCAATTTGTCAAAATTATAAATACGACTTGAACGGCTTAAGAAGCATTACATTCAGTCATTCAAGTAAGTCAGCGAAAATTTTCGAAATAATCCGTCTAAACCAGCAATTTTGGCTGTAAACATGCATATGTAGCCATATTAAATGAAATTTAAAATACTGCGGTCAAATGTGTAATAAATCTCAGTAAATGTTAAATAAAATTTAACAGCTTGATTGAAATAAAATAAATTCTAAATTTATCCTCAATAATGCTGAAATGGTCACTCTGGTGCGCATTCCATGTTTTAAAATTTATACGTACCTGAATGATATCGCTTCTCATTGTGGGTTATTTTACGATGAGTTCTACGTACACGACTATTTTCATAACCATGTTCAGGTTCATTATCGTCGGGTTGATAGTAATCTGGTTTTTTTGATAAATTGGAATGTCTTTGGTGTGAAGATGGAAGGGATGGCACTTCGGAAACATAACTATATCCCTCATTTGAAATTAATGCGCCATCTCGAACAACCTTGTTATTTTCCGAATGTGAGTCTTTAATATTATAATAAGGTGGTGAGGCCTTATTCGGTGTTTCTTCCACTATTATTATCAAAAATAACACATGAATAATTTTTAACAAATTTGTATTTACTTCAATTTACCTTCAGTTAACTTTGAGAAATAGGGTTGTAGTAATTTTGCCCTTTTCTTTTCATATCCCTTTTGTGTAATGTCTCCTAAAAATTAAAATAAAAAAATTATTAGTACTTAATATCCCAACTGTGGTAAACAACGATTTCAGTATATTAACCATATATGTATGTATAAATTTTGAAAGTGGTGTCGAAAGTTCTTTACATGTACAATTTGGAAAAATTTTTATAAAATAGGGTTTTCAATAGAGTAAATCTGTGCAATTGAAAATGAAAGAATTTTTTTCAGGCTTTTCGTTTGGAGTTCTCAGTTCCTGCCTTCATTGTATAATCCGTGAACCAAAACTATCTTCCCCGCAACTTTCCAATCCCAATTCTAGCTTTTCTTTGATGAAATCAAAAAAGTAGAAAGCAAGGAACAGGGCGTTGAGGTATTTCGCTTTTCTTTCCAAGAATGCAGATTTCTCAAAGTTCTCGTCAAGGGATAAGCTCCTTCTCTGAAGGAACCGACAAAGCGTCGCTTAAATTGGAATGGTCTCCTCCCTTGAGACAACAGATGGATAATGACACCATCCCGGTAACACTCAAAAGAGTGATGAGTCGATCGTAACATCAACATTTAGGCAGGGGAAGGAAGTGAAACCACCCATCCCTCACTATTCGACCTAAACGACAGCGTTCAGAGAAGAAGCAACCTCTCCATTAAGAACCACAGCCGAAAATTAAACTCCAAAGTAGGCAATTGTTGACCAACGCCTCAGTGCAATTTCCCAGGAAAAATGGTAAATGATCCATCAATATTAGAAGTTTATTGGAAAATCCTTGTCCATCTGCAAAACAATATAATGCTTGATGATTTCAAGGCTTCAGAGTGTTACCTCGATAAGCTGTGCATCTACCGAGGTGACAACAAACCCGATCTTAAAAACTCAAAGGACAAGGACGGAGAAGAACCTCGACGAATCATCATTTATAACTCTGACCGTGATGAAGATGGTATAAGTGAAAATTTACCATTCTAAAGCAGCTGCGGCATGAATGGAGTGGAAGTAGCCCAAGGCTAGCTCCTTCCAAAAATATATAAAGTGTATCAATTAATTAATTTGCCTTTGTAAAATTTTATAAATTTTAAGAAAAAACTTTGTCTAAACAATTATTTTTAGCAAAGTTAAGCAATTTGTTTGCTGTATTTTTTAAAGAATATCTTATATTTTAATTTTCTACCAAAAAAGTAAAATCGTGATATTAATTAATGAGATTTTTGATAAAATATGAACGTATTGTTAATTTTTTAGGTCAATAAAGTATTTTGCTTTTTTAGGGTTTTTGTTATTTTTTTTAATATTGCTGTATTATTTTTAACATTTTTACTACTCCTGTATATTAAAATAACAATTTTTAGTTATTTTAGTAGTGGTACGACTAAATTTGGACATTTCTTAACCGATTTATTATCCTATATACCTATAAGAATTTACTAATATTTGACTTAACATGAAATCTATCGTTTCTTTGATTTTATTTCGAAAATAATAAGTAATTTTGAATAGGATACATGATACAGATATACTAGAAAATCAATGGATTTGGACCTAGAGAAAATGTTTAGTGGGGTATAAAACTATATATTATAACAAAATAATCTGGGTTTTTTGTCATTTTGTATTGATAAACAAAAACTGCATTACGGAAACCCCATCTATTTGGGAAGTACTGTGTGAATTTTATTTAGAATTGTATAATATTGATTCTTATTCAATAAAGCTAACACTCCTAGCCACTTTAAGTATGAGGACATCACCGTATACCTCTATAGAACTATTACATGCTAAAATCTTGATTTTCTACCTCATATTTTGAGCCTTTTATTTTATAAATAAAATAAAATAAAATAGGCGTATTTGGATCGGGATAGTTATTCTTGATTTGGGTTCTAAATATATATAAGTGTATGTATAAGCTGAAAAATATTGGACCTAAGGTCCACAAAACCGCTTCTCTCTAAATTAAGTATTTTTCCTGTACCACTCGACAGTTCACTTTATATTGGTTCCAAGCAACCTAAGGTCTGTTAAGAGGTCTAAATTTAAACATAGTGTTTTTCCTACTTATATGGACTTTGGATAAGATAAATGAGGATTTTAATGCTTTTCCTTGGATACAAGCCGCTCCCCTTTGGTAGTTAAAGATTTTGAAAGACCACTCAGTGCGTTTATTCTAATAATTTTTTGGGTCATTTCATCAATTACCCTATTTTATATTCTTTAATTATATTTATTAAACATTTCATAATTGTATTTCATTGATTTATATTTGTTCTAAAAATCTAAACTAATTTTTTATATTGGAATTGCCTCATTCACAGTTTCACAAAATGAGGATATGTTTTTTGCAAATTGCAATTGAAAAATACTTAACACGTGTCCTTTTAACGATAAAAAACAAATTCCAAAAAGTAATTAAAAATAATTGGAAAAACCCAACGAGATTAACCGGAATTCTAAAAATGCAAAATATTTATTGACCTGCAAATTCTGATGAAAAATAATAAAATATTTTTTAATGGTTTTCCATCTTACACAATATATATTTTTAATTGGAAAACATACATTACTTTTTACCTGTTTTTTCGAATTTTATTTATGAACAAAAAAAATCTCTTAAAAAAGGTAGGCAAGAAACTTAATTGATTCACTGTAGGTTAGGTTGCACACAGGCCTGAGAAATTGATTTTTGGCCAAAAGTTGTTTTTGAAAATTCGCATAAACCATTCACAACAGTACGTTGAACACACCTTGAAGCGGGTTTCGTTAAAACAAGTAAGAGTTCTATATTCAATATTATAGAAATTTCAAAAAGTACCTTTTGAGGAACGAAAAATACCAAAAATCCTCCTTTTATGGGTTCTCACTTAATCCAGACTCTACATGCCTAATTTCATGTTTCTAGGTCTAATTTTATAGAAATTTCAAAAAGTATCTTTTGAAGAACGAAAAAGTACCAAAAAGTCCCCTTTTATGGGTTCCCACTTAATCCAGGCTCTACATAATTAATTTCATGTTTCTAGGTGCAATATTATAGAAATTTCAAAAAGTACCTTTTGAAGAACGAAAAAGTACCAAAAAGTCCCCTTTTATGGGTTCTCACTTAATCCAGAGTCTACAAACTTAATTTGATGTTTCTAGGTTCAATATTATAGAAAATTCGAAAAGTACCTTTTGTAGAACGAAAAAGTAACAAAAAGCCCACTTTTATGTGTTCTGACCTAATCCAGGCTCTACATACTTAATTTCATGTTTCTAGGTTCAATATTATAGAAAATTCAAAAAGTACCTTTTGTAGAACGAAAAAGTACCAAACAGTTGCGTTTTATGTGTTCTGGCCTAATCCGGGCTCTACATACTTAATTTCACGTGTCTAGGTCAGGGGTCGGCAAACTACGGCTCGCGAGCCAAATGCGGCTCTTTGGATGTGGAGCTATGGCTCTTTAGTTTCATACGCAATTTTTTTATTTTATAAAAAAATATAAATCTTTCTGAATAGATTAACGAGCAGTGTTTGTTAAAACTAACAAAACAATTCGCAAACGTTTCTACAATATACACAACATTTCAACTTTGTTTAATCGTTCTGTATGTGAGACAACTAACAAATGAAAGTTTAGAGTCGTTTGTGAAACTTTAAACAACACGTTATGATCCAAACTTTCTAAAGCTATACAAACCTATCTCTCCTATTGAATTTGTTCCATGTACAAGTTAGTATTGTAAGAAAATGTTTAATTCTTTAAATTTTTAGTTGAAAAGTTCCCTATAAACGATGGGGTATCATGAGCGCTCCTACGATGTGCCATTAGATAAAATGTAAAACATGATCATACATTCCGAAGAGCCAACTAGAATACGAACCAGGGACTTCGATTTTTTAGTAAAATGTTCTACACACTGTACCACTGCTTAGCTATTTTATTGCGCATCAAATAATGGTTTTCACAATCAAAATTAATTTTGTTTTATTTTTTGTAAAACACAATTCTTAAAACGCAATTAAATAAAATGTGCAAACAAAATGACAAAGCCGAAAATAAAGTACTTCTATATCAGATAATATAAAGTCATTACTAGAGTACTTCTAAGTAATGCAGACGGTAAGTAGTAGTCATTGAAAAGTAAGTGTTATAGAAATACAACCCATTACCGAGTTTTTGCTGGGTAAATACTAAAAACTTGTTCTATTTAATATTTAAATATTGCTCGTTTTAGAAATGTTTTTCACTGTACTTGTATTTTTCGTCGTTTTCGAAAGTGGACACTATATGGGTGGGTATACAATTCTGAATCCATCCTTATTAAATTTGGTACATATATTTTTGTTCCTATAAACTTGTTTATGACGAATTTCACCACTATGATGGTATTATTAAGCATGTTATGAGCGTTAAAGTCATTTCCTGAAGAGGAATTTATATGGGGGTATGGTCAACAATGAACTGATCCTTACAAAATTTTGGAGAGAGATTTTCGTTCCTATAATACTTGTTTGTGTCGAATTGCGTCGCTATACTAATATGTATTATTAAATCAGTTATGAACGTTAAAGTTATTTTCCGAAGTAGACCTTTTAAAAGGGGATTGTCAATTATGTTTGTTGTCAATTATGTTTATGTTATGTTTGTGTTGAATTTTGTCATAATACTGCTATTATTAAGACAGTTATGAACGTTAAAATCAAATTTGGAAGATAGATTTTTGTTCTTATAAAAGTTGTATATTTTGAATTTCGCCGCTATATTGCTACTGTTAAGTCAATTATGATCGTTAGTCATTTTCTGAAAAGGACCTAATATTGGGGTTGGTAAAATATTTATCTCGATTGCCGCCAAATTAATATATTACTTTATACTGTATTAGCTGCGTCATCAATTTTCGTGATTTTTACATTTCCTGATATGTTTCCAAATGTCTTTTAAATGATAACAATGTCGCCCTACTCTAATAAACTTCTATATTTTTATATAACGAGTGTTTAAAAAATGCATTCGAATGACCCATAAACATTCAAAAAGTATTTGTAGTCCAAAATCT